TACATGTTTATTTGCATACCAGTTTCCCATTTGGTACAAATACCTCCTTTGGTTGGATACTGGTACATATAATAATCTAAACCTCTAATATATCTTGAATATATCTTGCCCTGCACTGACTGTATGTTAAGATGATCATAATTATTACTGCAGCAGAAAGAAGATTAAAATGGTACATCCATCTGTATGATATTATATAATATTTTTATTTAAAAACATATATTTGTTGTGACTTCAGTTTTTATATAGTGACATGTTCATTACCCTGAACTGATGCCAGTTGCTGTGTAGCATAAATCATGTAGTGTATTCAGATCATAGGTATCAGCTGAGTCTGTCATATGCATGAATGAGAAATTCTGCTGTGTGATCATCTGGCTTCCAGGTTGTAATATGCCAAGGAAAAGTAGTTCATTGTAGAGAGAGAAGAAAGAATAAATTAAAAGCTTTCAAAGGGTATATATGCATAAATATTACATCTAGAGCAAATACTGTTGTACAAGTAGTACAGCAGTATAGTAGACCAGCAATCTTTAAATGGCTGGATCTGGGATTTTTGTCAGGAACCCAATTTTGCTGTTCTGAAGGCGGAAACTTTGTCCTCTGCTGGTACAAGACAGAGGAAACCATCAAAATGAGAAGAAAAAGTGCTATAGGGATAGTGAAAGGTAGCTGCATACAGAATCACAGACTGGTTGAGGTTGGCGGGGACGTCTGGAGTTTGTCTGGTCCAGCCCCCCTGCTCCAGCAGGGCCACCTTGAGCTGGTTGCCCACAACTATGTTATGTTATGCCATACTGTGTTATGCTGCCAGAATCACACATTTTCCTTTGTATTCTCTCCTCAGAGCAAGGGATGACACAGAAGTTCTGTCATGTGGCTTTTCAGAAGAGGGGAGAAAAATGTCTGCTTTTTTAAGCAGTAAAGCTACCAGAAGCCGTAGAGGTACCTCAAGCCTTTTCTACTGTATAGAAAAAAAGTACCCTTAAATTAGATGTACTGTGACTTACACACCTGATAACCTCTAGGAGAGCTTTCCTTCAGCTAGCTTTCTGCAGGAGGCAGAGTACAGCTGTACTGGAGGATGCTCTACAGTGCTTGAATGCTATTTACCCTCTTCTGCTCCCATAGCTGTCATGCTTTGTCCCAGATCCCTCTGTACCTTGGGGGGGAAGGGGGGCGGGGCACAGTTTAAAGATCTATAGGAAATCAACACTGAATTTATCCCTGGTTTTATTTAAGAATTTGGTGTGATTCGTGTACATTTTCTGTCTGTGGTCTATATAATGTGTAACAGTTACATGTTGTAATGACAAAACCATAATGGTATGTCTTTGTTTTAACAGATGCCATAGAAGGTTATCAAGATTCACCATATCCAGAAATTGATCATTTTGTTTGTTCTTTGGTTAATAAAGATGGGGTGCAAGGAGGTAAAGATCACTTTACTACTTACAAATGAGTATTCCACAGCAGTATTTTAAAATAATAATTATTTTTTTTTCCCCCAGGGAAACGACGATGGAATTATTTCTCTCTGGAAGAAATACTTGTATATGATATTTCTGGTTACCGTTGGTGTGAAAATATTGGAAGAGCTCACAAAAGTAACAACATAATGTATGTTCTTTAACTATTCACTGTCCACTTTGAAACAGCTTTATTTATTTTCCTGCTCAACTATTATTCTATAAAAAAAGCTGAAAAACTCTTACATCCAGAATCAGCACCTGTTCAGCACCTGTTAAAATTTCTGCTCTTTTGCTCTGTGGGGATACAATGCTTTTTTTTTTTTTTTTTTTAAAAAAAAAAAAAAAAGCTACCCCCTTCAATTTACTTTGTGATAACTGAACTTGTATTTCTAATATCTCTGTGAAGTAATCTTCATGCTATTTAAAATACGTGCCTAAAAGTATGTTAAAGCGTGTTAAGTGATACTATGCTTTGACGCTTCTTAGCTAGGAAGCTGAAAATCAGAAATAAGATCAAGAAAACAGACCACTTTTAAATTAATTTACAGTGCATCTTGAATTACATTCTTATGTTATTAAAATGACAAAGGTAACTCCTGCCACCACTTCAGTCAAGATGAGTTTTGCTAGTGACTCTACAAAAACTTCGACTTCTTAAGGTTTTAGCAAAATAAGTGTTGAAAAGTCAGGTTTTTTTAGATGACATTAGAATTGCAGTATATCATTAGTGGAGATATTTGAACTTAAAAATAATTCTACATAACATTTAAAATAACTGAAAGATAAGGAATGTGGTTTTGAGAAATACAGGTATAAAAAAAACCCCCACAGCCACTGCACTAGATGAACTTGGTGTTTCTTAAGCAGGTTGCTTGAAGCTTGGTGTTTCTAAAGCACTGCTGAAAAAGCTGGGTTGTCTAATCAGTTGACAGGAAATAGTAATTTAACTGGCTTTTATGATTAAATTACTTGTAACAGCAGCAGCAACAAAATCCTATCTTACAGTTAGACTAATCTTAATTTAATGACTTTTTCTTCCAAGCTTAATGTAATGAAGTTGACTAAAAGTGTAACTTTTGAATGTTAGTCTTAAAAGAAATATATTTTTAACTTCAGGAGCCTGAAGTTTACTGAAAAAATAACAGACTGTACAAAGTATGGAATAAGTATGTCAGAGTATGAAAGAAATACCCATAGATGGGGACAAATAAAACCTGTTCATTTAGTGTCAGAGTTTCACATGGTGCGCATTCACTTCATTTACCTACTGTTACTAAAACCAAAATTATTTCATTCTTAGGATTCTAGTAGACCTAAAGAACGAAGTCTGGTATCAAAAGTGTCATGATCCAGTCTGCAGAGAAAAAAACTTCAAATCACAAAGTATGTATTCTGTGATTTCAACATGATTTTATACTTAATACTTTTTGGAATGTTAACTTTCATTAATGCCATATATTTGATTTAGGTTTTCCATTACCACCTCAGATATGTCTCCCTTCTCTTTTCAAAGAGGTAAGGTTTTGTCGTATTGATATGCTAATAAAGCTGTCTCTGGAAGTCACTGAGTCTGTTGAGCTCCATCCAGTAGTTAACACTGGTATAGAATAGCTCCCCAGAGTAGCAGTGCTGGTGTGGTAGCTCCATATAGTCTTTTTTCAAGTCTCCAGCAGCAGATCTAGCACAAAAACTGTAAGCACAGATAAAGCTAAGTCACTGGAATAGCCTAACTTCACCTGGGACTAAAGATTTTCTTCTGTTTCGGTCTGAACAGCGGAACAGTTCCCTGTTCCACAAGACCACTGCGGGTAAAGAATTAAAAAACTGCCCAAGTTAAGCTCTGCTGTGCAGGTTTGACTTCATGCTGGGCCAGCTAAAATAGAACTGCTCCTGAAACACTTGAGTCAGTCAGTCAAGTTTAAGTTAGTGATCGTCAAATTTGAAGTTCACTTAACTCCATTTTAATGTATTAAAGCAGTTATGTTGACCCACACAAGAGGGATATTTAAACTGACCTGATACTGCACCTCGATTCTAAGCCCTGAACCTAATAACTTTTCCACTGAGTAGGCAATGACTTGGCCTCTTTGCAACTTTTAAATTTATACTTTACACTTTTAAATTTCATACTGCAGAATGGCACATTAAGCTCTACTTAAGCAGATCATCAATAGCTATTAGTGTTATTTCATAGAAAGTGTAATTGAAATGCATTGTCAGATCCTGACAGTGTGTATAAACAGACACTAAAATTAGCTTTGACCGTGTATTATTCTAAGAAGCTGTATACAACAGACTACTTGTAGTCAGCCAGCAAATTTCTATTCCTATAGGCTTCCACAGGGTAACATGGCTATAAATTAACTGGATGGAAAATCTGTCTTGTTGGCCAGCTTTCTATAGTATCCGTTATATACGACAGTGCGAGTTTCAAACTTTAAGACCAGAGCAGTTACAAGGTATGAAGACCATTTTCATATAGAATAAATAGTATTCTTGTTTCTAAAAGGAAGAAGAGTATACACTAATGGATGAAAGGGGGAACAGAGAAGAAAAAGTAAAACCACATTCTAATGCATCAGACTTGTCAAAAAGCTCAGTATCTCTAGAAAACAGCTTGTCTCGAGACTTCCTGTTGTCAGACAGTGAGTGGGACAATGCAAGTGATGATGCCCGTTTCCTAGAAGCTACTGAAGATGTGGAACTAGCTGAAGCTGCAGATGATAGTTTAGATTGTGCCATGGAAGAAATTCCTGATGAAGTTCTTTTGGAAGCTTTAAGGAAATAGGACACTTGAAATAAAGAAGGCAGCTAACCACAGACTTGGCTAGCAAACCAACTGCTAGCAGTGAAACCTGCTTTAACACAACATGCATATCACGTGTTCTGTGAGAGATACTGCGATGCAGCTGTAAGACAATGAGTAACTAACAAGTATCCTCAGAACTGGATGATCTTCAGCAAGCACAAGGAGATCATGGAGGATTACACGGGGCTGAACAGTACTGGACTGAAAGCTCATAATGAATGCTACTCCAGGTTTAGCACTTTCAGGACTCGCTGCTGTGCAGTTTCTATTTTCTTAACTGTATGTCCAAGTTTTACTGATAAGCCAAGTAAAATAGATTTCTTTACTTTCAGAGATGGGAGCAAATTATTTATTTTAAATACAAATTTAATAAAAAGATTTGACTATCAAGAGTTCACCAATGTCTATGTGTTCTCTTTTAAAAGTATATATTGCTTTCAAGATCACAATAGCCCACTATTAAAACCCAACATTGTTAACAGAACACAGAAACATTTTAACACTTTAACTGGAATTGCTATTTAATTAATTTCACTGACATGCTGAGTTCTCACACAGGCTATTTGACAATAGAAAAATACAAAGTCTGATTAACTCACTGACTTCTTTTCAACATTGAAGCAAAATACAGCAACAGTGAGTGATTAAACAAGCTTTAAGCACTGACCCTTCTAATAATTGTTCCTAATGTATGTCAAAAAGTCTATTAAAAAAACCACTTAATGTTTCTTTGATAACTTCCCTCTTTGTACAGCCAGAGCCTCTTGCAGTTTCATATTAATATTCTGAAAGTGTCTTTCTGCTCCTAGAATTCTCCGTGACTCCACCAGAAGAGCAGGGAGGCTGGAAGTTCCATACTGTTGTTAAGGAAATAAAATTACAAGGCAACATTTTTAACTTTTGGAAAAAATCACATATCTGTATTTATTTTTCCTCTATCTGAAATAGTGCAACGTGATTCTTAAAAGTGAAGAACAGCCAACATCAGAGAGTCTTCTGAAATAGCAGGATTTCCCTAC